GTTAATAATTACCTGCCCCTTTGAATATGTTGGTTTTGTTTAGTAGCGGAATAATTGTTTTTCGGCCATTTTTGACGTCCGTCCTTGTAATAGTATTACGTTTGTTATTGCGATTATGTCGCCGTATTGCGAATGTACGCCGGAAGAGAAATAAAAACCGGGTGGAGGCAATCAATCGAATCGGCGGAGAGCCGAGATTAAAATTAAACTCGTTTGTAAAGTGCATAAAATCGGACGGAGGAGTCTGAAGCGAAGACGGCACAAATCGTTGTGAATCACAATAATATTATTAATAAGCTGGTTTAAAATGGATGTGTATAAATATTATTTAAATTTTAACATAATATTCTCGGTGTGACTGTGGTGTTATTTTAATCGATACGGATAATCGTTAAAGTTTTTGTATTATTTTTTTAATCATTGATTTTCTGTTTTATTATTGTTAGATGAGTATTACACACACACACAATATATATATATTATAAATGCGAAAATGTGAAATCCAATCAACGCAATGTTTTATTTATGGATAAACTTTGATATTAGAGTCTTATTTAATCAAAAGAATCTTATAAAATCCATTTCGAATAATGTTGTTGCCCGAAAAAAATATAAATGAAAATAACATAGATTTTAAAATTTTAAAAATAAAATTATGAGAATAGAGTTCGTTTTGAAATATATCACCGGTACACTATAGAATTGAATACAATACTTCCATAGATTAAACCTGTTACCCGTGTTAGTAAAACATAATTAAACGTGACGCGTATACGAATATACAAAGTAATCAATCCTAAATTAGACACTACACTTATCATCTCGGAAAGTATTTACTATGTTTGGATTTTTTTTTTTTTTTTTTGGACAACTTGTGAAACAAGTAGCTCTAAAAGGTTTAATGACTGTTATTTTTTATTATTTTTATTGCTGGGAGTGAAACCGCTACCCACTTTTAATTTTTAAAAAGTAACCTACATTAAAAATTCCATAAATAGCTCTGAAGTACTAGTTAAAATAAATTTTGGTGTTGGCATTTTTAATTTCCGCCAACATTTATAAGTTGCTTGTTTCATAAGTTGTCCAAAAATATTTTCGAAATATGTGAATACTTTCCGAGATAATGAGTGGCTTATGAGGATTGATCAGAATATGTATAGAAAGTCAATATTATTATTGATGGGTGAAGATTCGAAAAATTTGAAAATTACCTGTTATTAAGATTTTTAATTAATTTAGTTTTCTACACATAAGTATAATATAGTAGGTTAGAAAATTGTGTAAATAAATATAGTTTATTGTATACATTTAGAAACCGGGGACTTAAAACACTTATAGAGTGGACTTTTCTAGCTTGTTTACTATATTGTTGTATACTTGTTTTAGTTGGATTTATTTTTTAAATAAAATATTTTACTGAGTTGCAAAATTTGAACCGAGATTACAAAAAAAAAGTTATATTAATACTTGAATGTTAGTAGTTTTGTTTGGGAATTTTATGTTTAAAACGAAATCTGTATATCTCATATCGAGTTATGGGATAGGAAAAAAGTTATAACTTTTCACCGCCGTTGAATATCAAATATCGTGGACTGTTTTTAGTTTTATTTTTTTATCGTTTTCTTCTGTCATTTTAAAAACCGAATTTTATGCTAAACATAGATCGTTATATAGATATATGGCGTATATAGGTATCTATCCGTACAACACGAGAGAAATTCGACTGTTTTTCCGCCCGTGTTTTTGTTTCACCAGAATCGGACGCTGTTCAAAAAATCATGTCAAATTTACAATGAAAAGAATATATAGAACACATATAGTCACATATAGAACATTTTATCGTTTTTAACAAATATGTCTTACGTCAAGCAAATTCGGAAAATTATTACTTTTCGATAAGGTACTTCCGGTCTGGTCGACGATGGCAAACGTTCCATTCGGCATAGCCGCCAGCTGTTTTAGTATAATACTTACACGTAATGGGACATAAAAGACAACGTCCTCGTAAGAAATCAGTTTCCACGTGATTTAAAATAAAACATTATTTATTATGAAGATTATTTTAAGTTAAAATATACTTTTTCTTTTTGTATTATTCAATTATTCGTTCATTATACGTTATAATTTGTAAAATATTTAAAAATTAAACATAACTTATTAATTTATTACAAACGATAATTGTGCATAAACAAATCTGCTGTTTACAGAAAAACCATAACATTAAAAATATATTAAATTTATTATACGTTTATGATTTTTTTATTTGCTTTTAATGTAAATAAGGTTTTAACAACAGAGGTTATTTAACAATGATTTACAGCACTCGAAAAATGAAATCAGTTTTATGTTATTTAGAATTAAAATGTTATGGAACTTTTGTCTTTGTTATATATATGTATATATGCACCAATTTAGAATGAAAATGTTTTGAACTTTTAATTTTCACGTTTAACATAATTAATAATTAAAATGATACTTATATAGGTAGATATTTAATTTTGTTGTATATTTACATTACTATTTAAAATAAAACCGTTACTTTTATGTTTTACATTATTTGAATTACAATTTTAATACACCGTACAGCAGGCTCCATTCATTTGAGAAAGCGGACCATCTATTATTTTTATAAAATCTCGCGGACCGCATTTATAATAGAAATTTGTATCGTGAATGAAAATTCGGTTTTTTTTTTTTTATTACAACATACATTATTAAATTACAATTTATCTATTTATTTATTATAACTACAACATAGATAGTTTTATGTTTGAAATTATGAATTATAATAATTATTATTTTTTTGATATTTGACATTGTTTTTCTTTAACTAATTTATCTAAGTTTGGTCGAATCCTTGGAATTTTGTAGCTCAGTATTAGTTAGGTGAGTTCTAGTTTTGTGTATACACTACCATAGAGAAGCATCATTTTTAAAATATTGTTTCGTAAATTAAGATATACCTTCATGTCTATATACTTTGAATAAAAAATGCAAAGTTTAATGCTATTGTACCTTTCTTTTAATATTATATTGCTCTGTAAACCAATAATATCCATATGTATATTTTATGGGACATCTTCAATTGATAATGAAAATGGAATTGAAAACAAATTAAACAATTTTTCATTAGTTTTGAAATATTAAAATCTTGAATGAAACTCAAGTTTTAAAATCAGAAATTGTTTCCTGCGTAATTTTTCATCAAAGTTACATTATATTTTGGCAAATATGAGAAGTATGTTGTGTTCTTTTATATTTAAAAGATTTATTACTGTTAAATAAATTGTGAATTAATTCGTTTTGGCATTGCAAGCGTAAATGTTCAAGTCATTTAAGTGCAATGTAATATCCGTGAGATAATGATTCAGAATTATTAAGTTCAAAAATTTTTCTTTTGCTTGTAGCCAATTCAAACATTTCGTTTTTTTTAAAAAAACCTTTTTAAGACTTTCTTTCTAAACTAAAGAACATTTGTAAAATAGATTATACCACCATAGTTAATATTTATTTCATTAAAGAATTTTTAAATTTTCTTAAATCCAATCTTTTTTGTCGAATAAAATTTACTATTTAACTTTATTAGATTTACATTTATCTAATTTGTCTTATTTGTCTATGACCATAGTTCATAAAAGATAAATTAAGTATTTCTCGTTTTTCAATATAGATGTTTTATAACCGTTCTAAATTGATGAAAAAAAAAAAAGTAAATGCAATGCTGAAAATGATTTCATGGGCCTCAAATAAATATAGGGCGAACCGTAAATTTAAGAACCCTGAAGATCAAGATAGTTAAATGATTGAAAACCCTTGTAATACCCTGTGGGTCGAAGCCCTTTGTCCGAGCAGAAGATGTATACAGAGATAGACTTTCTTTACGTCGATCAATAAGGTGACAATTTTATTAGATGTGCATTTAATATTTATTTCATTTAATTTTGTAAAATTCCCAATTAGTACCTAAACGAATTTTAGTGAAGTACCTACATATATTTTTGAATATTGTCATGATCTTGCGATTTATTGTTTTTTTTTTTTTTATGACTTCCTGAAGTCGTTCAGCTATTTCACGTTATGTTATATCAAACGATTTTCTCTCTTTTATAGTTTTTAATTTAATGTTTTGTTTTATGGTGTTTTATATTTTCATTACAAAAATCTCATTTTTATTTTTATTTAAATTATATAGTACTCGAGACGAATTCCTACGCTATCAATGCCCATTTATTGTATCTGATTCTTATTTTTGTTTTCAGTTTTTTTTTTTTAAATCCTTAATACACACCACTATGAAATATTTTGAATGATTTTCGTTCTTATATTTGGTTTCACGCGTATTTAATTGAGAGTTTTACTAAAATTACTCATAGTCACATATAAAATAAAGGTACCTACTATAACTTTTAATCATTGAACGAAGAAAGTCCCGTTTTGTTTTTATGTGACGTGATATTTGTTAGATCGGGTTTTCCTTTATATTTTCAACAAGAATTAACACATGTACCTTAAACTTTTACGATATCACGTGCGTCAGTGTTTATCTTGATTTATTGTTTCAAATATATTTTAATTCGATTGAAAAACTGCTCTCTCAACTCGATAAGAAGCCATATATGAGTTAAGACTTTTTTTCAGATAAAATACCTTTAATGATGGGTGTTTTAATCACATGAAATGACTGTTTAAAATAATCGATCAATTTCATGAATATTATACATCTATAATTTACAATATTTAAACACATAGACGTTTATAATTATCTACATAATATTGTTTGTATATAATATACAGATTGTAGCTTTGTGCTAGAAAAAAACACATTTCCATAATTTTGAAATTTGGCATATATGTTAATTTTATGTTGTATGTACTATGTTCGCCTCATTTTTGGTATATCTACGAGAGAAATAACGAATTTTCATATTATGTATTTGACTGTATTTGTAAAAACAAAGAGCTGATACTCGTGTAACAGTGAAAAGAATTAAATGAACGAAATGACGAAATGTGTCGGTTTATGTACGGATGGCGCCCGAGAAATGTGTAGCAGGAACAGTAGTGTTATTGTTAAATTTCGTAAAATTAATCCTAATGTGACACGGATGCACTGCAATATCCATAGGGAGGCATTAGTATCAAAGTCTTTGTCAGATGATTTTAGAAGTGTATTAAACACGTCTGTAAAATTAGTGAATTTCATTAAGGCAAGGCCGTTACAGTCCCGTTTATTTGAGAAGCTTTGCAAAGAAATGGGCAGTAATCACAAATCACTTCTACTTCACACTGAGGTACGTTGGCTATCGAGGGGAAAAGTTCTTACAAGACTTGTAGAACTTCGCGAAGAAGTCACGTATTATTTGGACGAAAAAAACGATTACGTAAAATTCTTACGAGATGAGAAGTTTATTTTGAAACTTACATACTTAGCAGATATATTTTCCAAATTGAATGAACTTAATTTATATTTGCAAGGGTTAGGCGAAGATATATTTTCAGTTCACAACAAAATTCGAGCATATATGAAAAAACTTTTGCTGTGGAAAAATAATATTGAGAACAAGATGTTTGACTGTTTTGAATCATTTTCTAATTTCATAATTGAAAATCAAATAGAAGTTGATAGCATTATTACATATATTTCTGATCATTAACATACACTGAAAGATAATTTTGATTTATATTTTTGAGAGAGATCTCTATCTCTCAACAAATGAAATGGATTTAAAATCCTTTCCAAGAACATGACATGCCAAATGAATTATCAATAAGAGCTAAAGAAGAATTAATTGAACTATTTGAAAATAGTGTATTTAAAATGGATTACAATCGAAAAAAATTAATAAGTTTTTGGCTATCTGTTTAAGAAATTTATCCAACTGTTTCCAATGAAGCTGTAAAGATTCTACTCTCATTTATTTGATCATAGAATTATGAGGTGGGGTTTTCGGCAATGGTTGATATAAAAACCAAATTACGGAGCAAATTGCGTCTCAAGGTTACAAATGTTGAAGTGAATAACGATGAAGTGATTAAAAATAAGAAATAATTACATCCTTCACATTAAAATTATATACTAATCAAATAACTAATATATTATACTCTTTTTTTACTAACTAAATAAATATTTATAAAAAAATATTGATAAAATCTATCTTTTTTTATTTCAAAACTTGATTCACTAAAACAGCAAAAAAAGGCCATTCATTGATATTTTGGTTCGTCAAATAAACATTTTCCAAAATGGGTCGTACACTAAAAAGTTTGGTAACCTCTGTCCTATTACATTTTAAGAAATTCTGTTTGTCAAAACATTTTATTGGCAGAGTATCAACCAAGTAAAAATTACGTAATAAACTTGTAAAATTGTGTCTAAATATTTGCCGTTTTTCCTATAATTTTTAAAACCTTTTAGAATATAAAATAATGATTACTGTAATATATTAATTGGATACAAAATTCAACAAAAAAGTCTCTTATCATTTTTCAATTGGAGCAAGCTTTCTGTTCAAAAAAGTTGTTAATAGACAGAAAAAAACACACAGCATATAGTAAAATTAATCTCTTGCTCTGCTCTGAATCTAAATTATACAAAATAGTTAAACCAATAAATTTCTCGCTCCACTTCGAATCTAAAAAAAATGTGTATACCTGAATACGATAGTAATCTGTAAAAAATTTGGTAGGAAAAGGCTATATGTGTAAATACGGCCGGGTCCCACAATGGGACAATAACGCAAAGAGACTTGATTTTCTACTCGGCGATTTTTTTTGAGTTGGCGATGGTGAGAAAAATTGATCGTATAGGTAAAGACGTACGAGAAAAAACCGTTTTTTCTTTTGGTCTTGCCCAGCTTTTGAGCTCGTTTTGACCGTCTCGCGTCCTGACGAAGGGACCGATGAAAAATGGACCGGAAAATATTAACAGCGTCCAGGGACACCCTCATATAAAGCTATACCATGATCGGAACCGTCCGATAATCTTTGCGTATACTAACATAGGGAATGCTCGTCACAATATATTATACTCGTGTATACAGAGTGAATCTTTTATCATGAAGTTTATGTAAGAAAACTAATGCTAAATCAAAATAACTACTTTCTCATATACCAAAAGTAGTATTTCTTGAAAATTTAATCAAGATTTTTGGTGAAAACAAAAATCGAAATATTTTAGATTTCGAGCGTAGTGAGGTTTTACAATGCTGTTTATTTTTTACTTTTCTTTCTTTGTTGTAGTCTGTGAACACGTTTTTTCATAGTAAACTTGCCCCGATGCATAAGTTTAGTACCTTTTCCGGGTAAATTTTATCTACTTGGTAAACACATAGGTCATTTTTTGATTTTCGAAACGGTATTTAAAATAAAAACGATTAATCGGGGGGGAAAAATTTTTTTCACGATTTCATTATTTTTAATAAGCACCGACTACGTTTTTTTTTTAGCACAAGTTGGCTCCAATTGAAAAACGACAAGATTCCTTTTTTGTTGAATTATTAATTATTATTATTTAGATTAATTATCAATAATCTTGTTTTATTTATGCAGTTTGTTTTTTTGATTTTTGAATAAGTTTTCATAATAATCGTAAAAACCGTAGAAAAAACGTACCATTTCACGGTCATTATTTTATATTAATACGGAAAACGTTTATTATTAGGAAAAGTGTTTTAATCAAAAAATGACAAAAAACATTTTTTGTTTTATTGTACATTTTGTTTCTCATGACTTAAGTCGCCTCTTTTGATTTCATATTGATTTGGAAAAACCAGAAGAAGGCGAAGTGGTAATTCAGTTAAAAATATTTGTAGTGACTTGAAAAATGGACAGAATGTTTACATTTAGTAATCAAATTTAAACGTAAATCGTAAAAAAAATTACGGTATTTTAAATTATGTACTATCAAACTGCACTCGGAATCGTCTTTCGTCAGCAATGGTTTATCGTTGTTTACAGATATAAATGAAAAAACCTTATACATCCTACCTTTCCAACTTCTCACCTACAACAGTGGCTGCTCCCATCCTCAGTATCAGCTCTTTTTAAATAGTGAAATTGGTAACGCTACGGCGCACCGAAATATTGTCCGTTTTTCTTATATGGGTTATCCTGAAATATAACTTTACCTTTGTAATGTACTAATAACAACTAAAATTCAAAAAAAAAAGGTCGATTGAGATTTTTGAAAGAAAATTTGCTCATAGACGAAACAAAAAATAATAAACACACATAGTAATAAGAATGTATTGGACATTTCTCTCTCCTTGAAATTTAAAAATATTTTAATATAGCTGTCATAATCAACATAAATAATGGTTTTTAGTTTTAAGTATTTTATGATTTATATAGATAATATTAGGGTGATTTTTAATTGGGCGATTGTTAAATTTTAGTTTTAACGACCTCTAACTTTATTCTAAAAAAATAAAAATAAATAATGAGTCCTATAGAAGTTTTCTAAGACAATCCTTAAATCTCCTTGAACGATTTAAAGTTTCCTATTTAAAACACTTGTATTTTTCCGTTTATTTTCAATTTTATTTATGCATAAGTTGACAAAAATTTTTTTTCTTGTATGGAAATGGTAAAATTTAAATAGGGAGGGGGAGGGAAATTAAAAGCTATCGGGTATTCCATGTCATTTTTTACTGATAATAATTATTTCTTAGCTTCTTAAAATATCGTCAATATATTCAGAAAATCAATGAATTTTGCGTATTGCAAATATATTTAATGAAAATTATTTGGATAAGCAATAAAATATAGTTGAAAATTATAATTGACCATGGAATACCGGTCAATCTCTATCAACTATAAAAGTATTCCCAAAATAGTCCATGTTTATTGAAGTTATATACAGACGTAAGTACGGCCTATATGTTTGTATATAATTTTTGAATGAATTGCAGAGTGACCCATATCGATGTTTCGACGTTTTTCAAAGATGTAACATGGTAAAAATTATAGATTTTCTGGATTTAATAACGGAATTTTAAGTAAACAAATAAAAAATTAATTATTATTAATAAAAAAGTGACATGCTCGATTTATTTTCATTATTTTTGTTCCGTTAAAGCGTAACATATCATAACGATCATTTTCATACAAGAAAATTTTGTTTCGTTAACTCCTATATGCATTATTTAGACAAAATTCAGAATAAATAAAAAACACATGTATTTTAAATGAGAGAATTTACCTCGTTACACCTAGGGGGATTTAAGAATTGTCACGGGAAACTCAAATAGGGTTTAGTTTTTATTTTTATTATTTAAGAATAAATGTTATGGGGTGCCAAATAAAAATTCAACCATTATTTAAATAGGAACTACCATAAGGTAATATATATATGTATACAGGGTGATTCATTTGGTATGCTCGCCCCATTTTCAAGGGTAAATTATGCATATAAGCATATTCTGATTTCGGAAACTTTTAAGTTTAGTTAAAAACGATATTTTCGTGTACTTAAATTTTTTAAAGTCTCATATTGGCGACCCAAATTTGGTTTTTCAAATGAGAATCTATATATTAAAGATTCCATATGGAGTTAAAATAAATTTTTTTTGCTTACACTTTATTTTTATAATCATTTGATTATATGTTAACCTCCTAAATCCCCCCCCTCCGCAGTTCGGTTTTGTGTTTGTGTTACAATACGAAAATGTTACAATTTATTGGTTTTTTTTGTTTTTTGAAGTGTATTGTTTTGTTGAGAAAATCGGACTCTTTTTCAAGTTGATATAAAACCGAGCATATATGTATACATATACTTTTTACTGAAATGGCAGTTACTAATGAAAAGTCACGAGGGTGTAATTAATTAAAACAAAAAATATATTATTACACAGGGAAAACACGACGTGACCTAATATCAATACTATGTTTCGTGTATACATGGTGCACGTATAGGCGATCGACCGCTTACCGATAAATTTCGGAGCTTTTCGGTCAGCGTACGACATATTATATATAGAACTAATAAGATATTATTACAGTGGGACCACGTACAATAATATATTTCTATTTTAAGTGCATATACAACCCAAATTCTGTATACGACTGTAATACATAATACGGTTTTTTCATTTGCGATGCACGAAATTGATTTCATTTTGAACGAAACCGAAGTCGTATTCGGTGTGTACCATACTACGTAGGTATACTTGTAACTTAAATGCATCTATCTAAGAACCTATGCATTTGAAGTGATAAAAGAGAGGTATAGAAAAATCATTAGAAATTATTAATATTCTGATGTAATATGCTCATGAATTTACCAAACGCTTGAATGATGTGATCGGTGAAACACAAGCTGTTAGTGGACACGATTTACAAAAACGATTGGGGATAAAACTTTGTGGACCACAAAGTTTTACTATGATGCACATCGACAGTGAATCATGTGATCCTCCATTACTATCGTACCTTTTGTAAAGAAGAAAAAAACACCATTTTTTAAAAGTTATTATACTATTCATATATGCAGGCTATCCTATAGAGATGTACCCCATGAATATATCCGGAGACTGTAAAGATAATCAGATTCTGTTTTTATTTTTATATTACTCACTGGGATGAGGACTATAAATATTTATATTTGTATTAATTTTTTCTTATTTAGTAAAAATATTTTATTTTTCTGAAAATTTTA